GTACATGCACTCTATTTGGAACCAGCAGCTCTGTGTCAAACTGAAATTGCATCTTAATTTTAAGGCTGGTCTTTTCTTTCTCAGTGTTTTTTTAAAGTCCTTCAGAGATTAAATTCTGAGGGCTATAGTCACAGCAATGAAGAGGGAAGAGTGCAAGCCTGGAGTACTAGGTGGTAGTGTCAGCCACCCACCTGAGGTAAATGGCATGCCATTCATGTTCATCTGTAAACTGTAAGGCTTCTGGCATAGATGAGTTTCTGAAAAAAGCGTGCTAAGCATAGATGAGAGTGTGCCAGTGCTGAATCTGCGGACAGGCACCTGGTGGAACTGTGCCTGAGGATAGCCAAATTGAATTCAGTAGTTTTTCAAGTTTTGGGCTTAAACCATCTAGAGATCTGGTGGCTGCATTTTTTGACAGAATTTTTAGTGCATGACCAACAGTGGGTCTGTGACTATATGTATTCACAATGATATAAATAACTAGAGGGGGAAAACCTGTGTGGCTCCACAGTTGCCCTGACTTGGCCTGTGACAGTGTGCAGTTACAGAAAGGGGGGAATCTACCCCTTCCCCGGCCTTCCCACAAGTTTCTCCATGTCTCTTTCGTGTGGTTGTTACAGATTATGTGGTCATATCGTGAGTTAGGTCACTGTCCTTATCAGATACTCATTTTTTCCTCAGGTGGATGTGTAATTCCAACTTACTGTGCAGCCAAATGATTTCCACAGTTGACAAAAATATGGTAAAAATGTGTGGATGCGGGCAGAAGGGGAATCTGGTATTTTCAGTGGCAGGACGTGCTCAAGATTGATTTAAGGCAGCTGGGAAACTATGTGCTAACTTGAGTAGAAGAAACATGAAGCATGCAAAATAAAAGATCACTGAGAAAGAAGGCTGCCACTTTGCTTTTCCTCAGTTAAGTAAAACATAACTGATCTTGACATAAAGCCAAACATTTTGTTTGTGATGGATATAGCTGCATAATGAGGGACAATCTTTGAAACCGCGGAAAAAAGCAATAATCCTGCTTAGGATATATAGCTGCTTAGGATATATACTGGTGATGTATGTCCAAAAAAGAAAAAAAAAAAAAGGAGGATTGTAATTCCTAATGTATGATCTGGATAAAAGAGGTATGAATTGACAGTTCCTCATGCAATCAAACTTTTGTTTTATGTCATATTTATTAAAAATATGCCATTAAAAATATACCATAAGCTAAAAAATTGTAGGTGAATCTGGAAGGGGTTTTTGTTGGGTTTGGTTGTTTGGGGTTTTTTAAACCTAAGCCTTTTTAAATACTTCCTCATTGTATTCTTTATTTTTCTGTTTCTCTCCCAGTTGTTGATCATAGAAATATTGGTGGGAAGGGACCACTGGGTTCTAACCTTCTGAGATTCAACGCCAGAATATGACTTGCACATAATTCGTTTATTAGAATAGAATGTTATTAGAATATTACAGTGTTTGCTGTGACTTTTTCTAGCCAAGTCTTAAAAACAACCTAGGACAGAGATTTCACAGCCTCTCTAGAAACCTGTTCCAGTGCTATACTACTCATCATGAGCAATTTTTCTTGGTCTCCGGTTTGAACATCTAAAGTTGAAATCTGTGGCCATTGCCCCTTCCTAAGTTCTTGCGATTTAGTGTTTTCATGACTCCTTGTTTACCTCAGACTCTTGTTTTCCTGATGTTTTCTGCTAAAGACTTCTTTCTTTTTTTCTTACTCAAGGAAGGATCCAACTCTTCCAACTTTAATGCAAATGTCTGTCTTTCACATCATTCAAATTGTAAAGAGTTCACATTTGATTCAAATAAATACCACAGATGCTAATATACTGTAATCTTAGGCTGGGCTTGAATCTGGAGTGTTTACGAGATATGGTGGTCTATACTGTTATTAACAACCCTGTTTTCAAATTAATACTATAATTTACAATTAACTATATTTTAATATAACCATATATTTGCTACTGTCTATATAACTATATTAACTATGTATTAACTCTGTTTTTATATAACTAATTTATAATACACCTACTATGTTATTTTCCATAAATGGACACAACATAGTATTCTAATTATGTATTGACTAAGCTTTTGAAATTCTCACTTAGCTTGTCTGAAGTTCATTTTGAGGGGCTTCTGTGTAGGTTCTGAAACCATATACATCACTGTGTTTTTCAGTGCCTAACTGTAACTCATTATCTAATATCACTCTAATATATCATCCATGCTTTGGCATTGTTTTGGATTTTACTTCCATTCTTTACATGTCCATATACATGAAATAAAGCAGCATCAGAGAATGTCTTTAAGTAGAAGGTGGTGGGATTTACCACTTTGCTGAAAAAAAATTACCTCATTAGGAGGAAAAAATTACTTCTTTAGTTAGATAACAGCCCAGGATTTTTTTACCTCAGCTGCACAAATGCTTAGTCAGCAAAATATACAGAGCCGTATAACAAGAGTATAAATAAAGACTGGGAAGTCAGCAGAGCAGTGATGACTTTAGCCAAGGCCATTACAAGGAAGTTGACTAGTTATGCCCTTGGTGTGTGTATTGCAGAAGCAGAGAAAACTTGTTGCAAAAGTAAACTGTAGCAAGAATGAGGATAGTAGTTCGACTAGGCAGTTCTGATCAAATGAAGAAACAAATATATGCGTGTCTGACTTTGACTGACTTCTGGTAGCTGGCACTAGATTTGTGACACCAAGATGCAAAGAATTCAGACCATGCCTTGGAATTTTACCAATTTTAAACGAGGCCCAGTTAAGATATAACATCTAAATTCTGACTCGGAGCACCTAAAGTTTGACCCATTCTTCCAATTTAAACATAACCTTCATGAGACAGTATCAAAATGAAGAATTGTCAAAGTGCATTCTTTGCTCCACATTTCTGTTTTAGCTGAATTCTGTTTCAACTGTGTGTTCTTCAGGTTCTGGAGCAACTGTATGTCCATATATATACAACGTGAATTCCATGCGGTACTCATGATTAAAGCAACTTACGCAAACGTATTTACATATTTTAAGGTAGCTCCTCACAGAGATCATTGTTTCTCTGTCATGTAAGAGATGTTTAGAAATGGACACCAGCACCTGCACATTCTTAATGGATTTAGGTTAGAATGTAGAATTAAATAAAAATCTTATACACTGTATTGCTACTTAACTGTTGGGTAAACTTGCAGTCATCAGCATTGTGTTTTGTTGGTCTGTCATACTTGCTTCTGTTATCTGATACTTGGAGTTACTAAGTTTATTTGATTGACTGTTCCAAGTAGCTCATGCTTTCCCCAGCACACACAGAGCGTAAGTTATATCAAAATATATCGTAGAACTATGTATGTAGATTTAACTTGGTTCTGTGCTGGGTGGTGAAAAGAGACATTATGACCCTGGTACTTAGCAGAAAAGAGGTGTGAAAGATTGCAGAACTATGCAAGACCCTCCTATTGGTTTTCTTGCTGTCTTAATTTAGCACAGTTTTTACTGAAATTTTCCAGTAATTTTTTCTGCAATCAGCACCATGATATCTAAGTGTCTATTAAACATTAACTGCTGGTATGGGAATTTCCCTGCAAAGGGAATTCAAGGGAATTGTAAAATACCTAATAAATCAATCTGTAGATCTCAAAGTTCTTTTACAAAGCGAATTGGAATCAGTATTATCTTTTTCTGGTGATAATGCTGGGGACACAGAGGGAGGATTTCCTGTACTTAAAAAGAAAATGAAGGACCTTGTCAGATTTCAATCATTAGATTTAAAAGAATGCTTCATGAGAAGTGTCTTGGAGTGGTATACTCTCATTTACTTATGTGGGTATGTATATGTGTGCTTGCTGTCCCCTAACCAGATATGTAGTGTGTTTCCGGAACAAAAGGTGCCCTTTGACCTCCTTATATCCCCCCTGTCAAAAAAAAAAAAAGGTACATTTTTTCTTTATTAGAATTACTAAGAGATACCTTTAGATATTGCCAGATCAGGAAAAAAGTGCATATGTAAATATATTTAATGTTTTTTTTACCTCTAGACTTTTTCTTCCAACATAATTTCCATATTTTTTATAAAACAGGGCAGGTATTATCTCCATCTTACAGATGTGGAAAAAGAGGTTCAATGTGGGTCTTGCAATAAACCAGTGAGAGAACTGGAAGCAGAACTTTGATATTTTGCCTTCCAGACATTAATGTGATTGATTCATATGTGTATACTTTGTGGCAGAGGAATTTTTAAAAGCTATTTCCATTTCTTTTAACTTAAACCCCACAAAAGAGACAGAAACTGAAGGAAGCAAATCCTATTCTTTATGGAACGCCACATGAAAGAAATTAATGGGTTTTGTTTTGGTTTTGTTTACAAGTACAATGCTCTAATGGAAAAAAATGTTATGCTCTTAAAAGCAGGCTTGTAGTAAAAATGGAAATGAAAAAACAGTAACATGGAAATTGTGCAAGAAAAATGTATATAAAGTTTTTGCAGTTATGTTGCCAGCACCTTGTGTTACCTACATAATGTAGATGTGAGTTCCTCCAATTAAAACCAATGGATCTTTTTAACTTGCATGAACACCCCTCAGATTCCCTACCCTCAAAGCCTCTTTCTTTAGGTATGGCAATTCAAAGGTTTATCTTACAGATTTTTCGTTCATATGTGTACTTTATATCTCTTCATAATTGCATATTCCAATTTTCATAAATTGTTCCACTTACAAAAATTTCCTTTTTCTTCCTATATGTAAGGGCTTTGGTAAATAGGTATTTTATTTTGCACTTTTATGCCTGTGTTATTTCAATGTCTTGTCCATGGGAAGGCCTTCTGGTCATTCGGATGTGTCAGTTTTTAGAACCAAGACGACTGAGAGCATAGTAGTTTGTAGCATTAGAAAAACAAAAGAGAGAGTGAAATTGCAATGTTGAAAAGAATTCCCATATTGGTATATAGTCTGGTAAGAACTGAGCAAAAGCTTAGGGAAATGGTTCTTGAGACCTAGATGGCACAGGAAATTGTTCTTGAAACAGACTGTTCCAGTTTTACTTCCTATTCTATTGCAGAGTGGCTCTACTATGAGAAGCTGCCCTTGGCCACTGGAACCCCAGTAGGAATAGCAGCTGTGAGGAGTCGGGAAGAGGGCTTCTGTGGCCAGGATCTGAGCCTCATGTACACAGAACAGAATGTAGGTACAGTCAGGGACAGATTATAATCCTTGTGTTAAGATTTTCAAAACATACTGCTAGGAACTTGTGCAGTTGCCGGCATCTTCAGTAACACTGTTTTAGATGTTACTTTATCCATAGTCTCATCAATCTAACAATCATCTAAAACCAGAACCTTTAAGATAAATTGTGAGGGTATGTAGTGTACACAACCAATATCATGAATGTGTGCGTATAACATGCGAACTTCAGTGCTCTTCCTTGTGTACTCCAAGGAGAATGTGGATAGAAATGATATGAGCAAACTTACTGTGCCTTTGTCTTATGAGCAAGGAATCTTTTATCTGAGAATAATTGCCCTAAACAGCAAATGCCTGTTTGGTTTTGTTTTGGGTTTGGGGTTTTTTTTGTTTGTTTGGTTGGTTGGTTGGTTTTGGTTTTAAAGATGTGCCTTTCAGTTGTCTTGGACTGCAGATTTTGTCACTTGCGAGTTACTACAGGTTTGACTCGGGTGTAGCAAGCTCAGGAGATTGGGAGATATCCAAGTCAGAGGCATGAACAGCATGCACCTGTAACCTCGATGACAGCAGTTTTTGCATGAACCAGTCCCTCTTGAACATACCTGCTTCCTGCCTGCAGTATCCAGATCTCTTCTTAAAGTTGATAATGACAGTGACAAAAGAATACTGCTTCCATTCAGGAGGAAGTGCATCCAGAAGGAGCACTTGTCTCCTCAGTCCTACCTTGCCAAAGATGGAAGCATTCACAAAACCAGCTGAACAGGTTCGGGGGTGTACAGAGTATATGATCCAGGACAGTGTGAAAGTTACAGTCTTTTGAAAGTGAGGACAAATAATGTTTCATGGAATAATTACAACTTACGTTACTTCTCTGGCAATTAAATAAAATATTTTTAGGAATATTTAGCAGTCCCCCCCCATACCTAAAAAAGCAGGATCAATATACTGGCATAATGGCATGTGATCACCTTGTGCTTGGACAAGTGAACTTCTGTTTGTATGACATCACGGGAAGTGTTTGACTTTAATGCTTGAATGCAAAACTGGCTAGGGGAAATGGGGGCAGGAATGAGAACGAGATTGATGCTAAACATTTAAGTGTTCTAAATAAAAGCTTGTAGGGGTGCCTGGGGAGATGGAGCTGTGCTTTTAGCATTGGTTTTTTAATACCAAGTCTCCCTGAAATGAGAGGTTCAGGTTTTTGTAGGACTGTCTTGGGAGTTTTGTCACTCTGTGGGAGCTACACTATTTATCCTGCAGATTATTCTGGTAGGTTTCTTTCAGACGAGAGCATAAAAACTCAAGTCTAGTCTGTATATACAGATTATAATCCCATGTGGCAAAGTAAAAGATTGCTTGCTCTTTCTCTCCTGCTTGCTTGAGATCAACTGTGTGATAAAAATAGTGAGTAGAATCCAATTAAAATAGGGAAGAAGGGTTAAAACATGGACTAAAAGAACAGAAAACTCTAAGATGATGAAATATGAATATATTACATGTTTTAGTCAAGCTGTGAAGCAAGATGGATCAGGTATGAGCACCCCACAAAAATCAACAGAAAATGAAATTCTGCTACATGACAGCAGGGGTACTTTTCTTTGATCTCACCTGCATTGACAGTACAATTGAACCATTATTTAAGAAAGGATAAAGCCCAGCAATATAATTTTACAGAGAGAAACTACTACCGCTGAAAAACTGTCTACCAACCTATGTGCACTGTGTCATTCATATTGAATATGTGACAGGCAGACATGCAGGTGAGCAGGTCTGTGAGGAATATTTGTGAGTAGTTCTAATTTGAGTTGAGTAGTTGGCTGAAGATGACCCAAGGGGTTCTTTTATGATATGAAGAATTAATTGAAATGTGTATTTCTGTTATCTTTCCAATAACTGGATAGCTTCTCTGCTTCTAATGAAAGAATATTTCCTGTTACAGGATATTAAACTGATCTCCACTGTCTTATGAATTTAATAATTGTCTGGCATATGAGCTTTAATTTTTTTCAACAAATGGATAAAACTCATAAATAAGGACACTTTTAGGCAGGGCTGTAAGATTTATAGGATAGAAAATATGGTGCTGCTCCCTACTGTGATACAAAGTCCCTGTGGTTCCTGGTGGTGCGCTGATAGCTGCCCGAGAACTGCAGTAAATTTCAAGTGGCTTTGTGTTGGTCCTAGTCTAGGAACAGTTGAATGTACTGCAAAGCTGCCAAATTAACTGTTGATATATATGGAGTAGAAAAACAGTTATATTCTATGCTAGTTAATGCTGAGTGGAATTGTCTGCAGCCCTAAAATAATCATAGTTCTATGAAAAAGACATTAGGCAGATTTAAGGATCAGTGTTTGAAGTTTACAAATAAAATTAAGACATAGACTACATTAAAATGGCTGCTTTATACCCAACTTTGAACAGGTTCCCTGTTTAATACAAACATGGGAAACTCATATTTAAGTATAGATTAAAATAAGTAAATACTTACAGTATTAATTCTCCCCTTTAACACCACCTTCTAATAGTCACATCATTGTGAAAAAGGTTCCACATTGAAAAGATTTTCAAACATGAATTTTTCAGAGGGAATTAATTTGTATATTCTTTGCAGAATCTTCCTTCAACTCCTTTGTGTAACACCTCAAAGAAAGCAAAGACTAATTAGTAATTATGTTTAGTGTTAGACTGCATGAAGGTTCAAATACAGTGTTCTATTATTAGGATATCTTAGAAGAAGGAAGAGGCTTGGCACTGATTGCTAACTTTTTTAGGAATTTCAGTCTGGGGATTTATGATGGCAATATCAAAATAGTTCTCTTAAACTCAGAATTAGGCATGGGACTTTAAGGAGAGGATACACTGTATTTGTGCAATACAAAAGCTGAGATGTGTTTGTAGATACAACTCTGCACCTTACTTTCAAAATGATAGTTTTGAGGAAACTAGTTAGAGAAATAACTCGAGAAGGATGGATGTTTCTTTAGTAGAATATACAAAATTTTGAAACGAAAACTTTCAAGTGGAGAGATGTGGTGGCTTCAGGCTTTTTTGTTCATTGCTGATTCAACAATGGCCATTGCACAGCTGGAAGCCTTTTCCACAGAAAATTACCCTGAAGAAAATTCTCAGTGTATCCCACTGTCCCTGTAGAAATTATACTAGGTCTACCTTGCAATTTTGTTTTTTGACATTGGAGTGATGGCTTCTGTTGTCCTTCATAGAAGGAGACTTTTTTTTTTTCCCCCCTGGGTGTAAGGAGATTACAGTCTTTGTATTCTTAGTAACCAGAGCTTATTACATATTCCTACCCAAATTTACTGTGTAAAACTTTCCCTTCATCTTTCCTCACTTTGGGAACAGTCTTTGACTTGTTTCTTAGGGGTTTTCTTTGTTATCCAACTTTTTGCCTCTAATTACTAAATGTGCTTATTGCTATTCTGTGTTCAGCCCCTGAGATCCCTCTGTGCTCTACTGCTACCGTGTCACCTACTGCCTTTCTTACCCTGTGCCCTGATGCAAGGGATTCAGGGCATCTCCAGGTGTCACCCACACACGCTCTTGGATTGTCTTGTGTTCTCCTTGCCTTCCTGCCTCCCCGCATCAGGTGGTGTGGGTTTCAAAAGCAGAAGAGCCACCAAGACTGGTGTTCTCTTCATCACCCTTTCCTCTGCATTTAGGGTTCACCAAACCTCTAAACATGATAGATCTGATGAGTGTTCTTTTATTCTTTTCTGTTATGGAAGGGTGTCTCTGTTTTCTTCCTTGCAGGAACTTCCTGGTTTTACCCTTTCTCTCTTGACAAAGGCTGTGTCTATTTCCGTGTTCTCATTATCCTTAAAAGGAGCTCTTCCTGCCCCACCACCTGCCCCATCTCATGTATCAAAATCCCCCCAATTCTGCATAAAAGGAGTGCTCCATTTCATTGCTGCCTACCTGCAAAATTCTGTTTCCTGCCTATATTAGGTCTCAGTACCTATTCTAAATTCCTCCCTTCTTCCAATTTTTCACTGATAAAGAAATCATTCTCTTCAATTCTCTGTCTCTTAGTAACTAGACTCCATGGAATGGATAATCAAGCATTAATAGGTGCCTTTATCAGCTGGCTCTGTTGGGTGTGGATTTATACAGTTACAGGCAGTTAAACCTGTCACTCTTCTAACACATCTAGCTATGATTTTTTGTGCCCCTCTTTCTCTTTCTTGGGCCAGTAAATGATTCAGAGAACACTAAAATTTTAGAATTAGTTTTAATTATTACAGCCAGTTGTCATAGTACTTACAGGCGTGCCTGTAAATGTTATTAACTTGGAAAGCCTACAAAGACCTTACATTTCAAATATATTTTTTTGTATGGATGCCAACCATCTATGTCCTGTCAATACTATTGCTAAAAGTCTCATTGTATATTGTGGAACTGCGTGCTTCAGTGGACAGTTCATGTAGAATTAAATGTATAGAAGTTAAGGTCTCCATGAACTGAGCAGGCTGTCACCTAGAATAACTGAAAGCAATTTCTGTTAATAAGAAAAAGCTGTGTAAAAAGCTGTTGCTGTACACAAAGTGTGGGGGACATGAAAACCTTTTTTTTGGCATTTTCCTAATTTTCAGAACAGTGAGGCCAGTCAAAGGAAAATCCAAGAAATGTATATTTGCTTCAGATTTCTGAAAAACAAACCATTTGTTCTTCAGCTGAGGGTCCGTTGCTAAAACCTTTAATCATGCAAATAAATGTCATACTAGTGACAGTAGTACCACTGAAGCTCGTTAAAATCCTACTGGAAGACCTGAAGGATTCCTTTCCTGGATGTGTCATCCCATGCATTTTTAAAGCAACATGCAGGCATTCATCTGTATGCAGTTCTGACAGGTTTTAATGGAATGTAAAGATGTGACATCTGTGACAGCTTCGAGTCCACTTTTATAAAGAAGAAAAGGAGGGTTTCCACTAATACAGATAGGCGCAGCTTTACCAGAGAAGTATTAAGAGATACTGATATAATTTAA